AAAAAAATTAAAACCCCACGACGAACGACTCGACTTTTGAGTGGGTGGTGTCATCAAAGCCAAACAGAAGCCATGTCGGCGGGGCTGGCCATTTCTGGCTGGCCTCAGGAGTAATTTCAGCCGACGACGGTAAACAGGCTTTCTTTATTCACTTTTTTAAAAAAAAGTTTTTAGATATTTTTCTTCTTCTTCACGAGAAAGAACCACAGCGTGCGTGTGTGGGCGATTAGGCTTGGGTCGTCCACAACGTAACTAACTAACTGACGACACATCAACTTCACCGAGGTTTTCCCCTCATCCACAGAGAGCCAGAAATGAAGGAGTGGACAGAGTCTATAATGACATGAGAGCTTCCTATGATGAGCTTCAGTTCTGTGGTACTTTGGGCCAACTTACTTATAACTTCTCCCTTCACAACCCCCCCACCCTTTCCACAAACAACAGACACACCCACAGATACAAAGACAGATAAACACACACACGCGCATGCACACACACAGACAGACACACACAAAAACACACATGCATACACACTGACACACACACAGACAGATACACACACACACACACAGAGATACACACACACACACACACACTGAAACATACACACGCGCATGCACACACTGACACACACACAGACAGACACACACACATACTGACACACACATAAACACACACGCACACACACTGACACACACACTGACAGACACACACATTAACACACAGGCACACACACAGACAGACACACACACACACACACTGACACACACACACATACAGATACACACACACCACACACACACACTGACACACACTGACACACACACACCACACACACACAATATTTCAGGGTGTAGGTGCTTGTGCCGCTCAAACAAAGGTACACTCCGAGCCTAAAGACAGGGATATTTACTTTGTGTATGAGATAACCATTACGTGGTGACACGATGAAAGACACATATATGAAAGTCAAATGTAACAGAAAGATCAAGTCTGGGTTTTACATGAGTACGTCCTCATAAAGTTGCACTTTATGTTCAATGTTAAAAAAAAGGAGAAACAAAAAAAACAAAAACACAGAGAGGACAGAAGCAGGAGCAACAACATAGCAGTGGTAAGAGCTCTAGGAATAAAAATACAGAGGAAACTTGTGACTTCAGAAGTCCTAAAATGATTTCAACAAAGTAACTTTTGTACAAAGCAAAAATATTGCCACAAAAACAAGAGAGCCTACCTTTCAAGCTAAATAGTTCCTCACGCTTTCCCGGACCCGCTATCGTCTGTGGAAAGGACACAGTCTACAAATTACTACGCATCGAAAGAGTACGACAAAGCAATCAAAGTCAGTAAAATTCCAAACTCAGAAGGTCTTTAAAAAATTTTTTACCTGGGGAGTCCAGTAAATCAAGGTACAAGTTGAGCACCACAATCCATTAAAATCAAGAAAAGCCTCACAGCTTAGTGCTCATTGAAAATGACAACTACAATGCATTCCTCTTCCTTATTATTTGTTCTGATTTTTTTTCTATTCCACAAAAATTGTGTTTACATTTAAGCAACTTTCCATTCCAAAAACCGCATGTATTGTAAAGAAATCTAATGAAATTATATATATAAAAGAACGAACTGACAAAATAAAAAATTATTTTCACTAACACCAATAACACTCACACACACACACAAAAAACATACAAACACCCCAAAACAAAGACCCCAGATGACTACCAACAACTTACACTCAACTGCTGTAAAACCTTAATGATTGGTTTAGTTCCATGAAGTTCACAACTCGTTTTGTATGCTGATATGAGTTCATTCGTATCCCATGATGGTGCTGAAAAAAGAAGGAAATGTTTCCAAATAAAAGAAGCGACAAACATTTTACCTGACTACAATTATTGATTCATGCAAATATATAATATGATATATTAATTGTTGATTCATAAGATTTTGAACATATTTGATGTTTTTATAAAAATTTCCACGACAAAACGAAGTCTTCTGCTATGACACTGCTTTAATGTCAAACGTCTCAAAGGAAAGAGGAGAATATGAGAAGGGGGAAGAAAAGGCCCAAAAAGTCCATAGACAAAGTCCAGGCATAGCTTTAAAAGGGAAAGGCAGGTTGAAAATATCCATGAAAGTACGAGGACTTCGCTAGTCAGCCTACATGGACCAGCTAAATCTTTTAGTAGTAGAGCAACTTCAACTGATAATGAAAAGTTACACATATTATATATATATATATATATATATCACTTGACCAGTAAAATAAACAGGTCAACTTCAGAGCCTGTTTCCACAATCACAAGAAATTTTGCACTCTATCTACCTCCTTGACGTTACTATCTCTCTATGACAATAACTGCCGTCGTCTCTGTGTAAAAATAACTAACAATACTCTGTTACAATTGTTATTGTATGCTTTTTAACAATACACTCGTCATCCATGAGACCAAAGACAAACAAACTACAAGGTCACCGGTGTTTGGATAGTCGAAACTGTTTTAGACAGCCTGCCATATTGTCAAGGAGAAAAGTGGCTATTTTACAGTGTCATATAAAATGTAAAAAAATATATTCAAGAGGAAATGAGAAGTGGCTGTTTGTGCAGATGATTGCTTAAAAATACAGGAGGCCGTGTAAGCAGGTTCAACTGAGTACTGTATGTGACCCAATTTCTGGCTTTTACTCTTATAAAATTAAGTCGTCCAACATTCAAAACAAGGAAGCAAATTGTTAAGAGCTGAAATTTATTAGTTTTCTATTCAAGTAAGTTGATGTTAAGACTGTTATTGATGCTCAGATCTGAATTCTGCACTGCACAGCTGCTATTTTTCCTTCTTCAGAGAGTGGTTTCCAATTTCATTTTTGACAAACGAAAACAGGAAAACAATTGCTCTCTCTCTCTATCTCTCTAAATACATTACTAAATTCCAAAAATAAATAGTCACATCTGATTGGGGACCTATTTTTGTAAAATTTGACAATCAAATAAAGAGCATGATCATGTCAGTACAGTGGAACTCGGATTCAACTAACTCGGATTCAACGAGAGGAGATAGATTCCTCGATTTCTTTTTTCTTCTTTAAAATCAATAAAAAATAACCTGGATTCAACGAGCACTTAAATCAGCGAGCTCGGATCCAACGAGGTCGCTTCCAGGGTGAACAGCCCCCGCAGACGTAGCTTCGCTCATTTTTCTCCCAGAACAAACTTTTTCTATTCCCTGAAACCATTCATTGCACCTGAATCGTGAACTATTATTCACTTAGCCGATTGCATGTGACCAATCATCAGCCTTTTTTTCATACCAATACATGCGTTGTTGGCACGTGCACGTGTCTACTCTAGCGTGTGTCGGGGTCAGATGGGCGGCCTGCACACGTGTGACTGTGTGTGCGTGTCGGGGGGGGGGCACCATCGCAGAAACAAATGCATCAGTCTTTTTTTCTCCTCGGCAACTGATCATTAGTCATTAGTACAATGATAAGCTAGTCTTGACGTAGATCTACGTAATGAATTGTGCGCTGGTCTATGGAATCAAAAGTTGCTCTTTTCTAGGCTTTACAGAGCAACACAACTTTTTGGCAAACAATCGAGATGACACAGGCATGCATTTGAACGAATTGGTCATTTTTTTAAAAAACAGCTCATGCAGGCATTTCAGGCGCTAACGTCTACTTGTTACTTTTCTTTACACATTACTTGCTCAGTGCCTGTAATTATCAAAACAACGCCTCATGTTTGCTATTTATAACGAACACTCGGATTCAACAAGATTTTAGGTCCGGCCCGACGACCTCGTTGAATCCGAGTTCCACTGTATAACCTACAACCACCTACTAATTAGCCAACCAAGGAAGGTGGGAAGGAAGACAGAATGATTCTAAAAATCTAAAACGTATTCTGAATCCAGTGCCACTTCCGAAACTATATTTCACACTCTTCATCTTCCTGCCAAACTTCAACTCAAAACCCAAAGTAGCAGGCCTAGAAATCACAGTATGTTACAAACCTCAATCCTACACAAGTGAACTGATGAAGAACACTCTTGGAGACCTCAATATCAGCCTCACACAGCACATATTTGGCTTAGAAAAGTAATCTATAAAAATCTTCATTCAGCTACTAAAACCCCTTCAACTGTCACACAGTGTGCAGCAAGAAAAGGATGGTAGTCTACACATTCCATTAACAAATTGAATACAACCAGTGCAAAGATGGCATCGACTGCTCTCCACCTAATGATGTACCTGACGGTATAGGGAGAGAGTAAAAGTAAGTGTTTGCGAAGATGAAATATTCTTCTTGAAATGTGTGCCACAACTTGATTTACAATCTTTTATTTTTGGTATTTTTTACTAATCCACCCGTCTCATGTATAGGTTTGATATACTTTATTTCTAGTAGTATTTTGCATGTTGAACACGAATATGACCTTCATTTTTGCCGCAAATCAATATTGAGTTATTCGTGTATGAAAACAGAACTAGGAAGGACCAGTGGCGTAGTAATATTTATGTACTTTTAACAACATGGGGGGTTTTAGGGCCCCCCTGACCTAAAAAGAAACTGGGGGGTTTCAGGGGGGCATGCCCCCCTGAATTTCACAATGATTTGATGTTTTGGCAATTAAGATTGATATTTACATGAAAACAATTGATTTGCAAGGGTTTTAGTGGCCATACATGTGTTCTGCAGCAAAAATTATAATGGCAGTTTCGCCTTCAGTGTATCTATTTGTGGGTGTAGTGTAAAAGTAAAAATGTACCTTTTATTCTACTACTACAACGCTTCGTCATAGACTGATATAGAATGGATTTTCCCTCGTGTAAAACGATTCATTCTCATAATAACTGTAAAAAACTAAATTTTAAATATTAAAATCATGTCGTCTGTCCATTCCTATATAGATCTAGATCTAGATCTAGATCTATATAATTTAAGCATCACAAGTCTTCCTACAAACTACTGATTTCCAATGCCTTTTTTTCTAGTACGGATCAATCTATCTTAACTAAGGATGAATGAATCATGTCGATCTATTGTCACATTGCGACTCAGTGACCTAGAATGCATAATAATGCAAACTGCATTAGACTCACCATTTTTCCAAGGATCAGGAGGTTCAAAATATCCTGAAATGAATGTGTCTTTTGGAAAACTTATTCCCCTCTTTTGTTTTGTGGATTGGTCTTTTCTATGATTTTGATTAGATCCATTCACATTTGAAGGTCCGTTTACAGCAGGATGGAATGGTACTTGATCTGTAACGGTAGTGACTTTGTTGTACAATAAAGACGAACCCGAGCCAGACTTCTCTGTCTGCTTGGATTCTTCCTGAAGCTGTTTCGCAGTGCTTGCGTTGTTGTTGTAAGTTTTATTATCCTGGGTATTTACACCAACACTTTCATTCCCGATAAAGCTGTCTATACATAACGGACTGGTATTCGACGAGGTCTGTTTCATTGGTTCGAGGGTTTCCCCGTTCATATTACTTGAAACATTTTCATGGTTGATTTTGTTTACGTTTGTGTCGCCCTTGCCAGCATCAGCTGTTACACTGAGATAGTCAGCTGTTTGCAAAGGATCCACCACAACAGGAACTTCTGCTGCACTTTTATGCTCAGCCATCCTTGTATTGTCTTAAGCCATGAGTGTGTGTGAATCCCAAAACGAAATTGCATAAAATCTTGAGTGAATGTAACACAGACGGGTCTACATTTCTTATCTCTGTTCTACTCGATGGCTGCCGTAAAACGCCTTCGTCAAATGACTTCCGGTAGGTGATTTGTCAGAGAAATATCGACTGGTTGCTTTAATTAGAGCAGCCAATGATATCAGTTCTTTCGGCTGCGCCCGTGGCGGCCATTTCAACCAAAATAACTAAACTGTTTGACACACTAACAACCATCCATCCACAAGTTTACATTTACAGGTTTGCAATAGAGCATCTGAATCTTGAAGTTAGTTGAAACAAAATGTTTTTGGTTTGTTTGTTTTACTCTTTTAGTGTACTTCGGGCTTGTAGACGAAAGTTGACAGGTTGTATATCGAGAGTCTGGAATTGAAAATTTCACTTAAATTCACTGTTTGCAAAGCTTCTCACTTCTCATTCGTTATGATGATCTTTCTTCTTCCTCCTAGAATTTTTTGGTAAGTGTTTTACGGCGCTCGCAACTGCATAAGGTCATATGAGCGCGCGGGACACACCTAGAATCTAATACTTTTAGTTGGAAGGAAATTTTGAATTTTGCCCGGGTGGCGGCCGAAGCCTACTCTATCGATTTTAGACCACCAAGAGATCTTTAACGTGCAACTTGCACACGGGCCCTCCGAGATTTCTCGCCCTTGTCCGAGAAGGCTATGTGTAGAACTTTCCTACCAGAAGATCATGGGTGGGGCAGAAAGAGCTGTAAGAAGGAGTCAAGAAGTAGCAGTAGAAAGGCTGCAGAAAGAGTCAGGAGCCCAGAGGAGGGGGCAAAGGAGGGGAGAGTCTACTGAATTACTGAAATTCAGCCGACATTTTCCTATATTTTTTACAATAGATTTGAATGACAGGAGAAGGCTTACATTTACCATGAAAGGCATGATGGTTCAGATTAGGATTACTCTGGCTGGGGGGTTTTTTTGTGTGCCTGTTCAGGAACTGTCTAAACTGAAACCGAAACTGAAAGTCTGTCAACTGAATTTAAGTTTTATTAAAGTGAAATCCTTCAATTTCAATGCTCGACACCTATTAATTCAAGAGAAATTTGCGTAATGATTATTCAAGTCAGTCAAGTAGTCTTTAGGCCTAGTACCTCTACAACTACACGGAGTACTCCGCTCCAATAGAACAGTTATATTGTTATTTTTTTATAAATATTTAAGCTTAGCTCTCTAGGCAGAAATTTGGCACAGTCACAGTCTACCCTTTTCAGTCTGATTATAATTTAATTCTAACTGGTCAGAGCTATTAGAAGGATTTATTCAAAGTTGCTGCTCTCAATCTTCTTTTAACCTCCAATGACAATCAGAGAATGATTAGAAAATCAGGTAGAAAGTGTGTTGTATTATATTATAGTTCTAATTTCTAGGGTGTCCTAGAGAGGCTACTACTATGTAGCCACACGGGAAGTAGAAAAGCGACTTCCTACTTCTCCGTAATACGCTTTATGGTTTGTTCTTGTATCAAATTTTGTCATAATATTATAAATATGTATTTTATGTATTGGCAGAAATTTGGTCCAAACACCTATTACTGATACTCCAGGGTGTTGCCATCTCAAGTCACAACATGCCGCGTGCTGCTGCTAGTGGTAAGTTTCATTTTAAGTTTTTGAAATTGTGCCAAAGACCTTCCTGATGCAATAATTTTTAAATTATATTATTTAACATATTTTTATTACTGTATAATTATATTCGATTTGATTTTGGGGGAGGGGAAAAACTTATGTCATCATGTGTAATTGAGACCAAGGATACCAAGGCGAGAGCTGTAGACTGTAGACATTTCTGAATTCTAAGTATCAGTATGATTGCGGAGGGCGAAGAGGGGGGTGGGGGTGGATGGATGATGAATGCCAAGATACTGTTCTCATCACTCTGTCAGTGTCAGAGCTTCTGATTTTGTGACTGGTTTATAATAGAAGGGTTGGCGCATCGTGCGGAGTTTCAGTTTGGGAAAGTACAATTGCTGTAATGCATTTATTTATAGGCCTACACTTTTTTTTATGCAGTTTTCATACTTGTGTTTGTTCAACAGGAGCTAAGAAAGCTGCACCTAAGGCGCACAAGCTAGCTGAGCAGTTCCCCAAGGACTCAGTTTTGAGGGATCTGTTTAAGAAAGAGTGGCTGCTTGGAGATGTTATTGGCAGAGGTGGCTTTGGCCTCATTTATCTGGGTGAGTGCTGGGTTTTCCATCTCACATAAAGGCTTTGACAATAACTGGCCTGTCTCGAATAACAATCAATGTCAAATTATTTATATTTTTATGTATGATTTTTATGAGATTCCATACCAAAAGCTTGATGCTTTTTAAAAAATGGAAATGAAAAGACCCAAGGAGTATGGCATTTGGTGGGAAAGAAAGTGGTTTTCATTCACTTTCACATTATGCACAGAACCTTTTCAATACTAATACACATGAGAGATTTCTTTTTCTTCCTTTGGAGAGGCCCTCTTCCATTCTCGAAGTTGAAGATCAAACATGAAGTAGCTGTCATACTGAGCCTAGCAGTTCACATGATATGCTGTTAGAATGGTCGACATAGAGGTTTAAGCGTGAGAATTTGGCTCTGGGGATTTTATAATTTAAGGTTCAGATGAATGCTGGATTTGTTTTCTGCGTGACTACTACTTCAAGGGACACCTGGAATGGTGATAAAAGTGAATTGGATTATAGGAAGGAGAAGAAAATAAATTAGCATGTTACTATGAAGAAGAAAAAATTGCATAGTCTGACAAAGCAGTAATATGGTTATGGGTTCAGATCACAGGGAGGGAGGGAGAGGGAGGTTTGTCGTCAGAGGATTGATGTCAAATAAGTGGATTCAGGAAAATAGAATTGATTGGGCCAAGCCTGTTTATAGAAGATAACCAGAAGTGGCAGAGACACAAACGTGACAAAAACAAAGTTTGCTTATAATAAATCCTCTTCCTGGTGCTAATGGTTAGCAGTAACCAGCAAGTAATTGTGAGTGACGCTGACTGTTCTGAACACACCCCTCCCTCCCCGACGTGCTACTGACTGAGGTTGAAGTGTCTTTAAGCCTTTCCCAAAGGGGGGATATTAACATGTTCTTATGCTCAGTAGAATTGTAAATGGGCTGATTCATCAATGTCATGCTCATAACTGGTCCTGAACTGCATGCAGGGAACTGCTCTTCTTTTTCTTTCCTCATCCTTACTAATGTCATTTTCCTCTACTTCTTTTGTATGTTTATCACTCTTTTGTGACCCCCTTTTTCCGAGTTGCCTTGATAGTCGAAGCAGACTTTGTACTGTTCAGGCTAGAAGGGTGAGCAGAGTAAATCTGATTCCCTGTAAGGACTTCTCTGTTGACATCCACCCCTTGGCACTCATATGACCTAATGCAGTTGCGAGCACTGAAAAAACTCTAGTAAAACAAAAAAGACTGTACCTGAGACTTTCGTTTGTGTCCTGATGCAGGTGCGATCCTTCCACTTTACTCCTTGTTGAAGTTGGTGGAGCTGGCCTTCAAGGAAGTGCCTCCGTTTTTTGTGTTCATGGTGTTCATAGTTTTCTGTCTTTCCTTTACAATCTCCTTCTGGTTCTTCAAGGTAAGTTTTACGAGCTGCATGCAATTTCAAATTTCTTTCTTGCCGACACAACGGTGCCCATGTTGTGAAATTTAGGACAGGTTGATGTTTGGTTCTTCATTACTGTTTCAATGTGTGGGTTTTTAGCTGCTTTTTCCGTGTGATACCTGTTGAAATTAAGATTTTTGGTTGTTGCTGTTGCAATATTTCTCCTACATAATGCTTTTTGAAAAACTTTGTCTTAGACTTTCATCGTGTGATTTCTGTTTTTAAAAAGTTAAAAGTTTTCTTATGGGTTTTGTCGTACTTTTCTTCCAGTGATTGACCTTTGTTGCCTCTGGCTAAGGAAACACTCAGGGATGGATAAACCAGTGCCTGTATAAATTTTTGCTGTTTTCAAATGAACCCTCCCTTTCTTTCTTCAAATTCTTTTGTTTTCTTTCTTTTTAGAAGATATATTGTCTTTGGTGCCTTGTACTGGCCAGTGTAGCAAAAACTTTTTCTTTTCCTGGCCTTTCCAGATTGCTAAACAATCCAACAGAATGAGAATACGTGTGTTCCTGTCAAGTCAAATGTTACAGCTGAAACATGTGGGCTGGTGGAAAAATTTCAATGACTAGAACAAACTTCATTATTTTGTATGTTGGTTATTTGTCATATTTTGGACGAGGCTGGTTGCATTTCATATGGTTATGGCTAGCATTTTTTAATAAGAAAAGCAGTCGAGTTTCTTTGAAAAGTGTACATACAATTCTCATAATTCTGAAAAGTATGCCCAAGCCAAGTCAGCTTTGATCTTCTATTTATTATGTTGATGTGCTAAGGTTGTGCTTTCTCTGTGCCAGTATGACTCTACATGTGTTCATCTCATTCCTGTTTTGTCTTCACCAGCTTCAGAAAAGAATTCCCATCCAGTAAAGGGCAAGGGCAGTAACACCGACTGTGTCATCAAAATAGTGAGTTCTTTGTGTTTTGTTTTTGGGGAAGGGGGTGTTGTTTGTTTAGTGGGTGGCAAATTAGATAAAGCTCTAAGATTATCAGGCTTTTCTCACATTTTATTGTTTGCTTTGAAACATTAATTATATACATATATTTAAAGAGTGAAAAAAACTTCAAGAGATTGTTGAATCTACTTACCTGCTTCGTTAGGGATTAATGAAAATTGTGTCACAAAAATGAAGCTGTGTAACTCTAGCTCCCCAGGGATGCTGTTTTTCCTTCTTCTTTTTTATTTATTTATTTTTTGTGTTGTTGTTGTTATATGTTATTTTCACCAAAATGTAGTTAGAAGAACATTTATCATTATCTGTAATTGTTTTCTACTTAAGCCAAAGTTAGAAGTATCTTTTACTGTGGTATTGTTCGTATGTTCCTTACTTTTGTCCATCATTGATGATGGTTTCCTGTTTTCTCTTCTTACAGTTTTTATTTATTCCTTTTGTTGGAAAGCTGTTTTGTTGTTTTTAATTGTCTGTAGCTACTACTTGTGTCTAAACAAACTCTTGATGAATTCTAAAACTCACTTTCTTAAAACAGTCACTACTGTTTTTCTACCTCTGTCCTCCAGGAACCCAAGGGCAATGGGCCTTTGTTCTGTGAGATGCAGTTCTATCAAAGAGTTGCTAAGCTGGATCTGAGTAAGTGCTTATGATCATAAGTGAACAAATTTCCCGTGTATTAGAATGTCCGGGCTTTTTATAAGCAAGACGGAGATTAAGACTCAGATGATTTTCTGTTAGCTTTGCTGTTTAGTTTTCATGAAGCATAACCTTCTTTTTTTTTTCACTGCTTTATTTGCGAGGTCTTCTAAATCTCGAACATGATGTGAAGATGGATGATGTTCTTAAGCTGAAGGAATTTGAAGATTTAATCGTTCAAGTTTGTGTACCTGTTTCTGTCTGTTTACATGAAATATGTTCAGTGAGTTTTCCAATTATTTGGTTTCTCTATTTGACAGTTCAAGCGTTCATCCAGGAACACAAGCTTCAGTACTTGCCCGTGCCACCTTTCCTTGGGACCGGCTCACACATGTACATGTCGAATGAATACAGGTTCCTTGTCATGCCCAGATATGGCACAGACCTGCAGAAACTTTTAGATCAGGCAGGAGGGACTTTTCCTGCTCAAGTTGTTTTTGCAGTTGGGCTCAGAATTGTAAGTGGATGTATACTACTTTACTCATTAGTTTATTTCAGTTATAAATATTCACTTGTCTAATTACAGTTGCAAACTCATGTTTTGAGAGGCAGATATGAATACCCCAGTGCTGGTGCTGAATGTGTACTTGCAAACCAGCTTTAACGGCCACCTGTGGAAGACAGTCACCTCTGTACAAATGACCACTTCCCATTCATTCCTCCCCTCGCATTTTTTAAATATATTGTAATGACATTGTCCGAGACATCTACCTTTCTAAGACATTCTCTTTTCTTCTCGGCAATGGGTGGCCATCTTGGACAATTTTAACCGTAAGATGTCTGAGCTGACAGCTTTTGTTCAAAAGTATTGCTGTTGTTGTTCAGTTATTCTGCAGATAGTTTTTCTGTAAGCTGAGGATCACCAAATGGGCGGTAGGCAGGTGCTCTGGTGTGGTTTGCTTCTTCTTTCGTATCAAACATCTATAATCGTTCTTATCAATCCTTTTTTTTGTGTGTTTGTTACTCTCTTTTACACCTCTAATCTTTGGCACTTATTTGACCTTATTGTGATGCAAGTGCTGTAAAACTCGTAGGAAAACTAAACTAAGTATCACCAAGGTGTGGGTGCACCCTGCTCTAATCTAGTCTCTATTCAGGCTGACACTAGGATGCGGAGCTTTCACATGAGACTGATACATGGGAGTTCAGATTGGCTCTTTTCTTCTCTCCCCCCCCCTTCCATTTTTAAATTGAAGTTGTGAGTAGTTCAGATTTATATATACAATAAATTGTGCTTGTGATTAAGCTTGAAGTGAATGTTAGTGACAAATAAGTTCCACTAGACCCTAGTGTGGTTAAATAGCTACATGACATACTGATTCAGTTTTGTCCTGACTATTGTACCTGCCTCTCTCTGTGTTCCAGTTGGATGCCCTGCAATATATCCATGAGAAAGAATACGTCCATGCTGATGTCAAGGCTGCAAACATACTGCAAGGCTATCACCAGGGCAAGATCCTCACAAATCAGGTTGGGTTTACAATGTTTCCTCATCAAATTCTGTTAATAAAGAAAGCGATGGCTTGATCAAGCCAAATTTTCTCTTTACTTTATTACGTTCTTTGACACTTTTGCTTCCGAGCTTGTTCAAATTTTTTTTGCTGGTAGTAATCTTGTAGAGATGCAGGAAGAGAGGACATGGAAGCTTGGACATTGTTCAATAGGATCAGGAAGAACATGTACCCAGTTTCAGTGAACATTTCTTCTGCTGGGACATTTCAGTAACCCACTTTCAGCACTTTTTAAGGACCCCCGAGCAAGTGTTGAGTTCCTGCGTGCTGTCGGCATCGCTGACCGTTTATGACGCCATAGCACCAGAAGAAAGAGAGAGAGAGAGAGTGAAAATTTCTTTTGTGAGACAAGATTACATTGTATTGTGCTTGAGAAAGATCTATACGATGCTTCACAACTTGAGAAGTATTTACCTTTGAGGGGTCAGGGACTCAAAAACATTTTTCTTTATGTCCACGGAAACCCTTAATTGTGCTTTTTATTCAGATCTGTATAGAATTTCTTGTTGAAGCGTAGGTTTCATAGGAATCTTAACCCTATCCGAACACCCTGGGGTCATTTTGTACCCTCCAGGGTTGTATTCTTTCACATTTCAGAATACTTCTAGTTCAAAGATCTCTTTGAAACTTTCAGTATTTCTCAAAAAAGCATTTTGACAGACTACTATGCAAAGCGTACGGATCGGATTAACGAGTAAATTTCCTCTTTGGAAAGTGGTGGCACAGAGTTCCCCATGTCGTATGGATACGATAGTAAAACACGACATGTGGATAGGGTTAAAGTGTGTATACCTTTTTTTAGAATTATTATTATATTTTGTGCAGTACACGACTTTATATCAAATTCACTGTGTTTAAATTGGAAAAGTCAGTTGTGGTCACAATAAAGAGCAAAACGTTTCATAACAGGTGTCATGCCTACGTGCCACTCGCCAGTACTCGACTATGCCTGTATTGTTCCAGGTGTATCTGGTGGACTTTGGACTAGCCTACAGGTACACGGTCGGCGAAGTCCACAAAGAGTACAAAGAGGACCCAAGAAAGGCGCACGATGGCACGATTGAATTCACTAGCAGAGACGCACACAAAGGAGTGGGTAAGTGCCATAGTTCGGCTTTCTGTTTCTTCTATCTCCGTGTGTGTGTTCATTTATTTGAGTGTGGATGTTTTATACGATTTTGGACAAGTTTTTCTTTCTTTCTTTTTTTTCTTCTTTTTTTTTTAAACAGTAAGAGTTTATGAGGAGTTTGGTGGCATTTTTATGACTAAATTCGGAATAATAATAATAAATAGCATTTGTATAGCGCATATCCCCGCTCAACAGCAGGCTCTTTGCGCTTTACACTATATTATTACCCCAGCAGACCATAGAACACTCCGAAACATTCTCAGCTTCCGCGGAAGCATACAGTGCAAGCAGCGGATTTCACGCGCTCAAACACTATCAAACTGACAAGATCTTTCTCTGTCTATAGCTGGGTACCCATTTCCACCTGGGTGAAGTGAGGAAAATTTGTGCAAAGTGCCTTTTCCAAGGACACAACGTCGGGCCCCTGACGGGATTCGAACCCACGACCTTAAGGTTGCGAGTCCGAGAGCCTAACCACTAGGCCACCGACGCCATAATGGTATACATGCCTCATGTATAGTTCTGAACTGACCCCTGTACAATCTGTCTGGCCTGTGAGATTGTTGAAAATTACTGATCCGAGCCAACGAAGTAAACAGTAAATAGACACAGGGGGAAAACAAAGACAAGCAAACCTAAACGAGAGAGGTGGGTGGTTGGTGGGTGCTCTGGTGTGGTTTGCTCCTTCTTTCCTATCAAACATCTATCCTCCTTATCTCCCCTTCTTCTTTTTTATGTTTGTTACTCTCTTGTAACACTTCTAATCTTCTGGCGGTCATATGACCTTATGCAGTTGCGAGCGCCGTAAAACCTCTACTAAAACTAAAAACAAGGGAGGGGAAAATGTTCTTACCCTTCAAAGATTTTACATGCAGATTGAAGTCTTTTACCAAAGGGCTTTCATTTGAATTTGAATGTGAGGTGTGAGTGCCCAGTCCCCTGTCTTGTTCATCCTTACCTTGTGGAAAGATGGCTCTTTTTGGAGAGTCAGATTTTGTACAGAACGTGGGATGTCGGGGGAGATATTTATGTGTGTCATTTATGCTTAGGCTGTGCAGAAATGATGACATTATAAGAAACTAAGAGCCTGCGTTGTTTACACAAGAAAGGAGTGTTAACCTTTGAGCCAGAGGCTGCCTTTCAAGTAAGGAAAAGGGGAATTAATTTGGAGAGTCATTACAGCAATGAGTCTTTGTAGAGTAGTGTGTAAATATCCTTTACTGGAAGCGAAAAATGGGTGTAAGATTTTTCTTCTTTTTTTTTTTTCTTCATGGACATTTTTACATCGTGTAGTGGTGACCATAGCCACCCACTGACATCGGAATTTCAACTATCGACATGCAGTAAACGATACATTTCCAAAAAAGCAAGAACAGACAGATATAGAAATTCATTCATACCAACTGCAGTGAGGTTACTGAACACACAGTACTACGAGAGAGAGAATGAATGTTTTACGGAGCGGGTTGTCCCAGCCCGTGAGACATGTATTTACTAGACCTAATGTCCTGTCTTGTTGTGCG